AGTGCGCCTCCCGGCCGGCGCCGCAGGCAGGCGCGGGCTCGCCCGGGACACGGCCGCGCGCCCTCCCGGCGTCCGGAGCGCAGCCCCCGGCCCGGCCCGCCCGGCCGGAGCGGAGCTTTGTGACGTCAGGCGGCCGCCGGGCGGCGTCACGCGCGGGGCTGACCCGGCGGGGGCGGGGCGGGGGCCGCCGGCCTGGGGACGCGGCGCGGAGCATGGAGCCGCGGGCCGGCTGCCGGCTGCCCGTGCGGGTGGAGCAGGTCGTCAACGGCGCGCTGGTGGTCACCGTGAGCTGCGGCGAGCGCAGCTTCGCCGGGATCCTGCTGGACTGCACGAAAAAGTGAGCGGGGCGCAGGCCGGGGCGGCCCCCCGGGAACCCCCGCCGGCCCAGGACCCGGGACCGGCCCAGGGCGGGGCGGCGCGGCCCGGCGCCCGCTTTCGGTTTCCCGGAGCCCGGTTTCGGGGCGCGCGAGCGCGGCCGCCACTCGGGGGGCGAAAGTGGCTCAAAGTCGCCGCGACTTCTCGGGGCGGGGCAGCGGCCGTGCGGGGCTGGGTGCGGGCCGCCGGAGTCCCGCGCGCGGCGTGTCCCCGCGTGTCGCCGGGCTCCCTGAACTCCGCGTATCTGCCATAATTAACGCACTTCTCTTTGTTCAGACGCACTGTTGAACTCGGCTGTTGGCAGAATTGTCGTCGGTTAAGGGGGTCGGATGCGCGATGGCCTGGCCCTGTCAGTCAGTGACGAGCGGGGGTCCCCCGGCTCCTGGGAGGGACTCGGGTCGAGGTTCGGCTTGGCCAGAGCAGCTGTGTCCGGCTGTGGGGTTTAAACACCGTTGGAGGCCGAAGAGCCTGAGTCACGCAGCAGGGAGAGGACGCAAGTTGCGGGAGCCGCGGTGCGTCCCGCCCAGCCCGGGGTCCTGCTGGAGGGCGGCCGGCAGCCTCCTGCGGGCACCTGTGCACCCTGCGGGGCTCACGCAGCAGGACGGGCCTCCTGGATGCCGCGTCACATGGCGCTGAGCTGTCGCTGCCGGGTAAATGATTAGGCATTAATCAGGCTGGGAAGTCTCTGCACTCCTGCTGGGCTTTATTTTGAAACTGGGAGCAGCAAACGGCTCCCCTTTCAAAGGCCCAACTTTTTCCATCAGTGAAGCCCAGATTTTTGCCCTGGTGGCGTGAATGTAGCCGGGAGGACCGTCCTCCTTTGACAATTATCTTGCTGACATTATCTCTTCATTAGATGTGCCAGAAGCCATTTATGCACGAGTCATGTGATTTAACATATGGCCTCCCGTGTGACTGTTGCCCGCTCTGTGTTGGCTACCACCGGAGCGCGCGGTGGGACGGAGGGACACCCGGGCTGCAGTCGTCACCTGGCAGCTGCAACACCCGCCACCCCCCAGGACGGCTGCAGCTTCCTCCCTGGGGCAGGGCTGGGCTGGGCCCTGGGTCCCCAGGGTGCACCGTGTCTGCTGACACTGCCCTGTCCGCCTCTCCTCCTGGAGGGGGCATTTGCAGCAGAGGTTCCCCGTTTCTTGGGCTCCCTGACTCAGGACTAGGGGGGCCGAGCAGCCCCCGACCTGTGGCTGGGCTGTCTGCAGAGGCTGTGGGTGGCTCTCGGTGAGGCCGTAGGCTGGCCTGGTTGCGCATCACACTCCCGCCTCCCCTCTGCGGAGAAAAGCCGGCCTGCTGGGACCCCCTCGTGGGAACTGGCAGCTGTAGGTGCGTGGGTGTCAACCCTGCAGCAGCCACCTCCACCAGAGCCACCCACGGAGCCGGGGGCCGGGCCTTGGTGGGCCCCGCTCCACCTGGCTTTGGTTGGCCCTGTCCTCTGGAGAGTGTGGGGGTGAGCCTGGCCCCCACCCTGGCCCTCCAGGCTTGGTCCTGAAACTGCCCCTGCCCAGCTGCCGCCCACTCTCTCCACGCAGTTCTCTGAGTCTCGGTGCTGATGTCGATAGCCCTGCTCGGGCCACAGGGCCGAGGGGCCAGGTGCAGACCTGCCTTCCCTGGGTGCCAGCTTCTCAGTGCCCGGTGCCTGGCCTTGTCCCTTACGCGACAGTGGGGGCCCTGTCCCTGGTGTGGGCACTGACGGGCTGGGAAGAGCTGCGGAGCTTCCGCCCACCTCAGAGGAACCCGTGGGTCCCAAAGCCAAGGGCATCTCGCTGCATCTGTTCCGGGCAGGAGGGCACCGTTCCTGGGGTGTCACAGGTGGGTGGGTGGGCGGGCGCGTGTGTGGAACCCTACGAGCAGCTCCCTGCATTCGGATGCAGACCTGGTGGCTTGGGTTCCCCAGGCCGTAACTGGTCACTGTGGGTGTCCCCCTGGCTGGATCGGGGTGTCATCAGGGCCCTATGCACAGAGGCTCCTGGGTGGGGGGGCTGCCGGGGGCACCCACCACTGGTGGTGATGGTCAGGCCACTTTGGGGGACGGCGTCCTCACCTTGTTTGCAGAGGGCTCGGGCCCAGGTCTCAGGGGAGTGGAGGTGCCTGGCCTGGTGCCGTGTGCCTCCTCCCTCCTGAGTCTCGAGCCTGCTGAGGGTGCAGTCCTCTGCGACCCACACCCCGGCCCGCCAAGATCCCAGCCAGCCGCTGCCTGTGCCCCGGCAGAAGACACCCTGACTTCTGTGCAGGGCGAAGGCTCAGCTGAGCTGCCGGTGGCTGCTCCTGGGAGGATTTACGTGACAACCAAGGACGAGCGCCTGGTCCAGGCCCTTCTGGGCTGGGACTGCAGGGGTAAGAGGTGCTCCCGGCCCTTGGGGAGCTAGAGGAACCAAGGCACCCGTGCGTCACAGACTGGCACAGCGGGAGCCCTGGCCTATGTGGCAGGTCTTGGGAGCTTCTCCGAGGAGGTGGCGTCTGAGTCAAGGGTGTGGGGTGGGGGCGCCCCACAGGGCTTAGAGAAGGGTGGTACTGATGGCTCATGAACCTCTGAGACCAGGACAGGGGTGCGGCTGGCCCAGCTGCCCTGCCTTGGAGCTCCTGGAGTCGGTGTCCACAGTGGGAGGTCCAGGCTCAACCGCTGGCCCTGGAGCGGGGCCGCTCCCATGGCTTCTGCCAACCTGCTCTCCTGACTCCCAGAGCAGAGGTGGCCCCCAGAGGCCCCTATGCCCCAGCAGCCTGGCTAGCGCCCTGTCCCTGCCCCCCAGGGTTCCACCCTGCGGCCGGCTGTCTGCAGGGCTGTGGGAGGCTGCAGGTGGACAGCCGAGGTGGGGCCCTGGGCGTTTGCACTCAGGTTGTCCTGGGCTGCGTGCGGAGGTTTCCGCAATTTCCCACCTGGCTTTGGATGGCCGCACGGTTCTGTTTTAGGAGCCGTGTTTTCCCCTTGTTTTCAGGCAACAACAGGGCAAGGAAGGAAGGTCCGGGGCAGACGTGGGCCTGGACTGAAGCGCGGGCAGCTGCCATTTGAGCGCCAACGGCCCAGGGGCTCTTGTGGGCGGCCGGGGCTGTGCCTCTCCTGGCTGTGGCTGGCCTCAGGCCTGGGCTGCCCTGCGGGGGCTGGGCCAGACAGCTGGGTGAGGCCCGGGGGGTGTGGCAAGCTGAGGACTCGGTGGTCCTGGGGCTGCGTGTCCTTGCTGGGACGACAGGCAGGGGCCTCCTGGGGGCTCTGACCCCCAGCTCATTAGGGGTGGTGCTGCTGTCCTTGTTGTTTTGGGATCTGGCCCCCATTAGAGCCTCCTGGCGGCTCCTCCTCGCCTCAGTTTCCCTAGCCTTTCCTCAGAGCAAAGGTCATTTGCCCTGCCCCCACCGAACTCCGAAATACCCTATGAGGTTATTCCTGCGTCCTTTCAGTTTATTGTATGGAGACGTTGGCCGGCCTGGAGCTTGGGGTGCTCCCATGGTGAGTCACCCCAGTCCCTAGGGCCCCTCCCACGAGCCTTCCCTCCACCCATGAGTGGGGCACACCCGCCCCAAGGCTGCGCCCACCTGAGGGCCTTGGGAGCCCAGCGGAGACCCTGGCGGGCTCACTCTGGCTCCAGGGCCACCAGCCCTCTCACCTGCCAAGGCCTGTCGTGTCCCCTGTGTGGCACTGCCAGACAGCAGGGCCTCCGTCCCTGGGGGGGCCGACATGGGCCCCCCTGCCTTGCTGAGGAGCCAGCGCCGTGGGGGCCCCGGCTGCAGGGCTGTGCCCTGTGCCCAGGCCCGGGCGAGTGGCCGAGGCTCTTCCTGTGCAGACGGTGGCCCTGGGCCGGGGGCATCAGAGACCCGCCCAGCTGGGGCAGTTCCTGGTCTCAGCCCTGCTGGCCTGTCTGTAAGACAGGAATGGTGGGGACCCGTGCCTCATGGGGCTGCTTTAGGGCTACAGGGAGCTACGTCCCAGCGGTCCTGGGCACCTGCTGTTAGCTTTGCCTGGGGAGTGAGCTGTTCCCACCCTGTTTACCCACCGGGCGAGGCGGGGTGTGGCCTGGGCCGGGCGGCAGCTCCAGGAAGGAAGCATGGCCGCCTGCCCTGCCAGGGTCACAGGCATTTCTCTGCAGGGCCGGCTTCCCCAGTCCCTGGGCACGGGTGCTGTGCACGGTGGTGCGACTTGGGCCACAAAGGGGACAGTGGGAGGCCCAGGCTGCTTCCAGGTTGACCTGCCTGGGAAGGGACCAGACCCGCCTGTGTGGGAGCTCCTGGGGTCAGGTGCCCAGGGAGGGGACAGGCTCCCGTCGTGTGGCCCAGGAGGAGGAGCTGCCCTGGCGTCCAGGCTGTGGCTTCTCCTGCCAAGCTGCTCCCTGGACTCCCTGAGCAGAGGTGGCCCCAGCAGGCCTGGCCACTGCCCTGTCCCTGCCCCAGCCCACAGCTCTGAGTGGTCACGGTGCCACGTTGCCCACTGTGGCGGGGGCGGGGATCTACCCAGGGGCACCCCAAGAGCCTGGCCAGTCTGCCGGGCCACTACCTGGCGTCCAGATGCTCCTGCTGGGGGGGAACGGAGCTGAGCTTGGCTTGGGCACCCCGGGGCTTTCCGCCTGGCCGGCGCCCTCAGGCCAGGGCCCTGCTGCTCCCTGGGGCTGGGCCTCCCTCTTCTCCCAGCCACATCCCTCATGGGGGCTCCTTCACGCGGTGCAGGGGTTGTGCAGAAAGCAGAGGTGCGCCCCCAGGAGCGCAGGGTACGTGTGTGCGTCTTCCCGCGTGTGCCTGTGTGTGCGCACAAACCGCGTCCTCAGAACTCTCAGCCTGTTGTAAGTGCCCACGGGGTGCTCACCCAGGAGAACGAGCCAGTCGTGGGGCCACTCCCAGCTCTGGGCCAGGGGCCCTGGGACACCAGCCTGGACGCCGGGTTGGGCGGCACCAGCTCCGGGCAGGGGCTTGTCTGCACATCTGGTCTCGGCAAGCTTTGCCTGTGCGGGCGCGACAGTGAATGTCACTGGTGGGCTGGTCGCACCGTGCCTGTCTTGCGAGCGCCAGCCGCTGCTGTGGTGCCAAGACTGTGCCCCAATAAAGCTTTATTCACAGACGCTGGGGCAGCTCCCTTCATCTCTGTTCTCTGTCTCTCTGTTTCTCTGTCTCTCTCTCTCTCTCTTTCTCTCTCTGTTTTAGCTAAAACAGTCTTAAAAATTAAATCACGTCTGTTAAAAGTTGCACACGTTCACTTTTTTTTTTTTTTGAGACAGAGTCTCACTGTCTTGCCCGGGCTAGAGTGCTGTGGCGTCAGCCCAGCTCACAGCAACCTCAAACTCCTGGGCTCAAGCGATCCTTCTGCCTCAGCCTCCCGAGTAGCTGGGACTATAGGCACACGCCACCATCCACCATGCCCGGCTAATTTTTTTCTATATATTTTTAGCTGTCCAATTAATTTCTTTCTATTTTTAGTAGAGACGGGGTCTCGCTCTTGCTCAGGCTGGTCTCGAACTCCTGAGCTCAAACGATCCGCCCGCCTCGGCCTCCCAGAATGCTAGGATTACAGGCGTGAGCCACCGCGCCCGGCCGCACACGTTCACTTTTGAAGAAACACGTAGAGTCTAGACTCGTCCTTCATTTTACCAAACAGCCTCTGTGTTTCGCTGGGTCACTGAGTGGCTCATCGAGCCGATGTGACGTGGTGGCATCCGTGGCACTGTGGCCTCAGGCGTGAGCGTGTGCCGGAAAGTGTCCCCCACGCCCACAGGCAAGCCGCCGCCGCTTCTGACGGCAGAACCCCGAAGCCACTGCCTCTCACGTGGGCCGCGTGGCCCAGCGTGGCCCTGGGGAGAGAGACGGCCTCTAGTCAGGCAGGTGTCTCTGCTGGGGCAGCCCTGGGGCCACTGCTCTGTTCAGCCTTCACTGTGGGTCCCCGGGAGGTGGGGGCTCCTGTCTCGTGCCCTTTCCCCGTGGGTCACGTGGCCTTGTGGGTGCCAGCCCCAGCCAGAGGGGTCTGCTCCGCTGCCTGTTCCTGGAGCTGCAGGTCCTGAGGGGAAGGCTGGGGGTGCCAGGCAGGCGGGCAGGGACTGCGGGTTGGAGAGGCCAGGGGCCGCGGATGGGGCACTCACCTGAGGGCGAGACAGCCGGGACCCACTGCAGGACCCTGGGCGTTTGGGAGGCAGCGGTGCCCGAGAGGGCTCTGGCTTGGTGGCCAGCCTCTGTGCTCTCTGGGCCACGCCAGGCTCCCACCCCAGACACGCATCAGGCACCTGGGACGCTGGTCCTGCAGCGCGGGTGCTCCCCGGGGACAAGCCTGGGGGGTCGGAAGCCTGATGCCTGCTCTGGGGTCTTCCCTGAGGCCCCAGCCCCAAGGAGAGGAGGGGAGGGACTGGCTGAGCCTAGAAGGGAGCCAGGGCTGGTTTGGGGTCCCCAGGGCCACCAGCCACAGAGCAGCTGGACCCTGACAAGGCCAGGCCAGGCCAGCTGCATCTCCAGCCACGGCGCCCACTCTCAGGCTTCTGGAGCATTCCAGCTTCTCACCCACCTCCCCATGGCCACGGGCTGAGATCCGGACACTCCGTGTCTCCGTCAGAGCAGAGAAGTGGCTGCCTCAAGGCTGCTGCCACGTGACCTTGTAACACACACGATCCACCTGGGGTGCCCAAGGCAGGTCGCACACAGGGTGCTCGCGACTGCGCCCGGCGGGAACAGGGCCAGGCCGGCTGGAGTGCGGGCGGGCAGGGGTCGGCCAGCCGGGGCCTCACCTGTCTGCTCTCTGTCTCCTGCCAGGTCCGGCCTCTTTGCCCTGCCCCCGCCCACTCCGCTGCCCCAGCGTGACGACCCCCCCACCAGGAGCTGCCATGGCCGGGCCCCCGAGGATGGGCACGGAGAGGTGATGGAGCTGGGGCCCGGCTCCCCGCCGCCTCCCCGCGGGGACCAGCACCCCGACACTGGCGGCCCCGAGCTGCCCCCACCCCTCGTGCCGCCGCTGCCCGCCGGCAGCCTGGGCCCATACCCGCCGTATTTTGAAGGCGCCCCATTCCCTCACCCGCTCTGGCTGAGGAACACGTACAAGCAGTGGGTGCCCCAGCCGCCGCCCCGGACCATCAAGAGGACCCGGCGGCGTCTGTCCCGCAACCGCGACCCGGGGCGGCTCATCCTGAGCACCATCCGCCTGCGGCCTCGCCAAGTGCTCTGTGAGAAGTGCAAGCGCACGCTGAGCCCCCCGGAGTCCAGCCCCGGCCCCCCGGCCGCCCCCAGGGCCCGCAGGCGGCTGGGCAGCGGCCCGGACAGGGAGCACGAGGCGCCGCAGGAGGAAGGCAACCCCGCGGCCACCGCCGCCGCGAGGAGGAGCAAGCGGGAGCGGCGGGAGGACAGGACCCCGGCGGAGCCCGTGCAGCGCAGCCCGGTCATCAGGATCTCCTACAGCACGCCGCAGGGCAAGGGCGAGGTGGTCAAGATCCCCTCCCGCGTGCACGGCTCCCTGGAGCCCTTCCGCCCCCCGCAGGCCCCGCACGAAGGCGGCCCGGAGCCCGAGGCGCTGAAGGACCCCGAGCCCAGGGACAGGCCACCTGGCGGGCCCTTGGCCGCCGTCCCCAAGCTGAAGCTGACGCGTCCCGTGCCTCCCAGCTCAGACCTGCCGCCTCCCAAGATCCGCCTGAAGCCCCACCGCCTGGGGGCCGGCGAGCGCCAGCCCGTGTACCGCGCCGAGCTGGTGGAGGAGCTGAACGGCTGCCGGCCGGGCCCTGCCCACGGGCTGGCGGACTCATCCTCCGGGAGTTCCGGGGAGGACGAGGACTTCGAGAGGTGTCCCCAAGGCCAGCAGGGCCGGGGCGGCCTGACTTTTCTCGTCGACTGCCCCACGGGGCGCACGGGCTGCCCCAGTGAGTCCGTGTGCAGCAGCGACAGCCTGGACGAGGCCAAATCGTCCAGCTCAGAAGTGACGTCGCCGGACACGGGTGACCTCTCGCCCGGCAGTGGGGCGTCCGTCCCTTGCTCGTCCGGAGAGGCTTCCCAGACCGTGCCGCCCCTGACGGTGCGGCTGCACACACAGAGCGTCTCCCAGTGCGTCACGGAGGACGGGAGGACCTTGGCCGTGGGGGACATCGTGTGGGGTAAGATCCGTGGTTTCCCTTGGTGGCCGGCACGTGTCCTTGACATCAGCCTCGGCCAGAAGGAGGGTGGAGAGCCCTCTTGGCAGGAAGCGAAAGTCTCGTGGTTTGGTTCTCCAACTACGTCGTTCTTGTCCATTTCAAAGCTCTCCCCTTTCTCTGAGTTTTTCAAACTGCGGTTTAACCGTAAGAAGAAAGGGATGTATCGGAAAGCTATAACCGAGGCTGCCAACGCTGCACGACACGTGGCCCCAGAAATAAGGGAGCTCTTAACCCAGTTTGAGACGTAACCGTGCTTCCCTGACCAGGTAAGTGAGCCAGCAGCTGACCTCCGTCCCTGGCCGTCCCTCTGCTCTATCCTGAGGCCCAGGGCCCGGCGGCAGCCCGGAGCCAGGTGCCCCCTCAGCGGCGCACAGCTCCAGCCGCCTGCTGGCCGCTCCGAAGGGCACCGTGCAGAACGCGGTTGTCCTCGCAGGTAACGTCGCCTGGGCTTCGCGGTTCATGGAAGAGGTGCGTTAAAAGTAGGGCGGTTACCAGCCACCGCTTGCTCCTTCTAAGCCCGAAGCTAGTTTGTGTTTTGCAGACACTTTTCAGAGGGGTGCGGTAAAAGGTTTCCTTACTCTTCTGTCAGCTTTTTAGAGAAAGGGATTGGCTGAAACTGGGGCAGGAGCCCGGGTGGGGCTGTGTTTGCTGTTTCTCAGGTTGGGGGAGCAAACTTCACCTCTTCCTGAAGAGGGGCCGGGGTCTCTCCTCCCCCTGCCCGCGGGCACGCTGTCCCGGATCTGAAGAGGAGGGAGGGTGAGGTGAGCTTCTGCCCCAGACGAAGGGCCCCGCGCTGCCTCCTGGTGCCGGGTGGGCTCCCGCCGTCCACAGGCTCTGCGGTGGCCAGGCCCTCGGGTCCCCTCCCCCAGGAGGACTTTGTAGACTGTGCAGCCAGGCCCTACACGAAGGCCTGTGGCTGGGGCATCAGCCATGCAGAGGTGAGGGGCTGCCCCTAGCTGGGGCTGGGGGCCGACCCTGTGGCATGTCTGTGGCCACCAGGTGGGCAGGGGTATCACCCCGTGGTGTTGGAGTGTCACCTGTGGCATTGGGGACGTCACGCTATGGCATGTCTGTGGTCACCACGTGGGGTATCTGGAAATGTGCGGGGGGCTGTGGCCTGCCCTGAACTCGCTGGGCTGTTCTCATCTGATGCTGCCCCCAGCTCTGGGCGTGGGGGTGTCCAGCAGGGTCGCGTGACCTGGTGGGGACCCAAAGGCCTCCCAGCACCTCCCCTCCCCTCTTCCCTGCTTGTCCCCTCCGGGGCCCCTGTGGCCTCTGCTTTTCCTCCTGACTCTGTGGCCTATGCCCGTCCCTATGGACGCAGAGGCTGGGGATAGGGAGCAGGCTGTCCATCCCGCCCTGGAGACCTGCAGGGCCTTTGCCTGCTCATCGCCCTGCCTGGCCTTGGTTTCCCAGGTGACTGTGCTGAGGCCTGAGCTTCTGGCTGGGGAGGGGTCTGGGGTGCCCCGTGCGCCCGCTGCTGTGCCATGTGCCCCGGAGCCCCAGGAGGGAGGGAGCAGTGGTGAGAGGGTCCCCAGGGTCCCCAGGCTGCCCGGCTCTGACCTGGCCTCTTCCCCTCCCCCAGACACAGGTGTGGCCCTTTGCTAGCAGGAATCCGGGCACAAACTGTCTTTCCCCCGAGCCAGGCCCATTCTGGTCGGTTCTGAGGCCCTTGTGTGGGGGCGGGGCAGGTGCCAAACATGCGTGTTGGGGCGTGTCTCACGCCAGGGAGCTTCGGTGGGTGGACAGTGAGCTCTGAGGGGTTGGGAGAAAGGTAAGGTGACTGTGTCCCACTGGCCTGGCGGAACCCCCTGGGTCCCACCTCCCCGCCCGCCGCGGGCTGGCCTGGAAGCCCTTGCGTGGGTGCCGAGAGCAGTCAGCCCTGTCACCATGACCGGCTCGGTGGCTCCAGGGGCTTAGACAGCTGCAGGCCGTGAGTGAGCAGCATCTGCCCGGCAGTGGCCCCGGGAGGCCCAGTCCTGGGCTGGCAGGGAGCCCCTGGCCCTGGCTGGGAGAACGCGGCCTTGTGGGTTCAGGGCTGGCTTTGTTTATCCGGAAGCAGAGGAAAAATCTCACCAGACGGGTTTGCCTGCCTGCGCAGGGGGCCTGTGCCCACACACAGTTGCTTCTCCCTCCAGGCTGGGCCCGGACCAGCCCTGCCCTCCGCAGCCGGAGCCCTGGAGAGTGGGGTGCTGGGGCCTTTCAGCACCAAAGCGCCAAGTGGGCTTTGCCTGGTTGGCTTTTTGGCCCTATTGTTAAGGGTCAAAGGTGGCTGAGGTCCTGGGGGGCTCAGCCGACCGCAGCCGTGGGGTCGGTGGTTTGCGTTGGGGTATCAGCGGCGCCCCTCGGGCCTGCTCTGTGTGGGGGAATTGTGGGAAGGCGGCTTTCCGAGCAGAGGCCGCGTGAGATGTGGGGGCCAGTGGCCGTGCCCAAGCGAGGGCACGGTGGCCGGCACCTGGCGCCTCCTGGGAGGAGGAGGCCACGTGGGGTCTGGCAGCTCGGGTGGGGAGCCCCGCAGGGGAAGGTCGTCCCCCAGGTCTCTGCTGCCTGGCCTGGCCCAGCACCAGCAGCTCCTCGAGGCTCGGGGTGTCTGTGCCGCCCCCGGTGCAGGCCAGAGGGCTGTGGCAGCGAGCACAGGGGGCTGCAGGCTCAGCCGAGGGGTGGGCTTGGCGCAGACGCCCTGCAGCCCACGAGCCCCTGAGCCAGGCTGGGGCCTGGTGGCGCCCGGGGTACGTGTCGTCCTGTGTGGCGGATGCAGGCGCCCTCCCGGTGGGGCCTCACCCGGTGCACTGGGGCCAGGCCAGCCTCCAGCTGCAGGAACAGAGGCTGCTGTGCTCGGTTTCTTCATCTGTCGAGGGACGACAGCAGCACCTGCCTCCCGGCTGGAATGCACAGCTGCACCGTGGGTCTTAAGTGACCCGTCCGTAGCCACCTTCCGAGTGACCACTGCACCCCTCCGGCCCAGCAGGACCCCTGGGAGTGGGACAGAGCGAGGGTCAGGCTGTGCTCGGGGTGGGTCGCTGTGTCTGGGAGCAGGACTCACGGGCAGGGCAGCCACCCCTCCTGCCATGGTGCTGCCGGCCCGGCTGTTGGGGCCAGGCTTTGTCCTGCAGACAGAGCAGGTGTGGGGGCCCGGGACACAGGGCCCTTGCCACCCCGGCCTCCTGGGCCTGGCTTTCTGTGCTTCCAGGCTTTCCCTTTGCCACCCACCTCCCACCCCACCCCCATGCCAAGGGCCACTCAGCTGGTTGTGGGCTGGGGGGGCAGAGTCACTGCAGTCCTCGCCCTGCTGGCTGGGGTGGGCTGTGACTCACAGTCCCCACATCAGTGCGTCGTCACACACAGGAATGCGGAGAAGGGAGGAGAGAGGACCCTGAAGCTGAGCATCCAGGAAGGCTTCCTGGAGGAGGTGACAGAGCCCGGTTCTGAATGGTGAGCTGACAGGAGCTCCTGGGTGCGGGGTGGGCGCTATAGGCAGGAGAGCAGGCGCCTGCCATGGCCGAGGGAGGTGGACGCCACTGGGCAAGGCAGACACTGAAGGCCTGGTGGGCTGCGGCGCAGACCCGGGCCCTGTCCTGACCACAGGGCTGCTATTTAGCAGAGGAATGCAGTGGTCTTGTTACTTGTCAATTAAAAATAAAATAAAACTTTAAACAAAGCTGATAGCTTAATAACAAGCAACTCCCGGCTGTGGGGACGGGCGCGTGACGGGCACTGCAGGAAGGTGGGCGCATGTGCGGGTGGGGGCTCCTCGAACCGGGACCACCCTCTGGGTCCCCGGACTCCAGTCGGCTGTGTCGGAGGCGTCTGGGGGTTGGAGCTCAGAGGCAGGTCAGGGTGGGAACTCGCGGCACAGCCTGGGCCACGACGAAGCCCGGACAGAGTGCAGGAAGGGGACCCACGGAGCGGCTTCCCAAGGTGGGGGGCTTGGGAGCATGGCCGATGCGGGAGCGTGCGGCATGTCGGGGCAGGAATGGGGGCCCCAGGGAGGCCCCGGGGCTGACGGTGGTGGGTTGGGCCCTGCCCACCCGCACCCAGCACCATGGTGAGGGACAAACCCAGAGGGGCCGCGGCTGCCCGGGGATTGGCCACAGCAGCAGGGCACACCCAGCCAGGTGTCTTGGGAGCTGCAAGGGCCGATGGGGCACCTGGTCCCTTAGCCACCTTCTGGGCTGCCAGGGTCCTGTGCAGGGAGGACGGATGCCATCCCGAAGCCCCAGCCTCTGGTCGTGGGATCCCAGACCGCTTGAGCTGGGTGGGCACGGCCCTTCCCCGCCTGCCCGGTGGGGGCTTCCTGGGGCTCGCACGGCACAGCCCCCGCACTGCAGCCTGGAGCACCGGTTTCTGCCCACTGAGCTGCCAGCGTCCTGCGTGTTTCCTGTGGCCGCCGTGACGAGCTGCCACGGCCTCGGGTAGAACAACAGACATGTAGTGTCATCTCTGGGGTCAAACGTTGGAATCAAGGTGCCAGGCCGTCCTCGGCTGACCCCGCGGCCACGCCACTCCCGTCTCGGCTTTGCTTCCTCAGTGCCGTGGTGGCATCTGGGGGTGACGCAGGAGAATCTGCTCGTCGTAAGGCCTTAATTTAATCGCTCCTGCAAACAGGTAGCACAGAGGGGACCGTGCCCAGGTTCCAGGGTCAGGCACCTCCACACCGTTCGTTCCTCATTCCCCGAGGGCTGTTCGAGCACCCTGGACGCCGCTCAGGGTCCTCTCCCAGCCTCCCGTTCGGTGGAGGGACCCATCGTTCCAGAAGGATCCGCTGCCGTGCTGGGGAGGCTGTGCACGGGCAGGCCGTGCTGGGAGCACCACAGGCCGCCTGTGACTTCAGCTTCGTGATGCTGTTTCTCCCGGGAGGTGAAGACACTGATCAGGAGACTCCACGCTGCTGGGGCAGGCGCGTGTCGGCAAGCGCGTGCCCAGACTGCGCAAGCGCGGCGCTTGCAGGTCCCTCTGGGAGAGGAGCGCCTGAGTCCTGTCTCCAGGGTCCGACGGTCCCCGTGGGAACAGCACCCTTGGGCCGCCTGTCTCGAACCAGCCGCCTCTGGCTCTCACTAAAAATGGACTCCTGCTTCTGAGGACGGGTTTGCAGCCGACTTCCCGCGCCGCCGCCTCCGTGAAGGCTGTAATTATTTTGTTCCAGAAGGAAGCTGAGGCCTGTAATTCCAAGCCCGCTGCGGGGGCTCCCGCCCCGGCCCCCTCCTGGCTCCTGCAGCCGTCCCCACGCCTCCTGGGCAGCGGGCGGGCGGGGCCGTAC